AAATCTGACCATAAAAACTACATTGTGATAAATATTCTTTTATTGAAATTTTTTCGTTTGAAATTATTTTAAAAATCAAACTAATAATAAAAAGTACACGGAATTTAATCAAAAAAGTGGATTTTTGATAGCACGATTCATTATCGACCGAGTTAAATTTTTTAAACTCTCTAATTGTACTTTCCTTCAACGATAAATGACAAAATAAATATGAAAAATAATTGTTAATACCATGATAAAAAATAACGTTCAAAAATACTGGAAAAAATTACCGACTGAGTAAAGTGAAATTTAAACCAAATTTATTGAAATGATACGTCGATTAATTCGTTAATATAATCGATTCGTGAAAATTCTTTTATCAAGAAAATACGGCTTTTTGATGAATAAAAAAAATAATTTCAAAAAGTATGTTTTAATAAATTCATTAAAAAATTGATTAATAAAAGTAGGCGGGAGGTTGAGAATCTCTGGTTGCGCTCGTCCGGGCCGTGGGGGTTAGTAGGGTGGAATGGGGTTGAGGGTGGGAACAGGGTGGCTAACAGAGGGGTGACGGGGAATGAAGTTGGGTGCCAGGGTAGCTTTTGATCAATATCTCGTACCCACCCTCTCTCGCCCTTCTCATACCACCTACCCTTCATCCGCGAACACCATGTCTCCTTTCAGCCTCATCCCCTTTTCTGCCTTTTACTTGACTCACCCTCTCTCACCCCCGCTACATTGGCCAACCACCATGAATAACCAACTATATACATATGTTGAAATAAATATATATATATGTATATTTGAATATTTGTTATACATTACATCTATGTTACGATTGATTGAATAGATGATTATTAATCGAAAAAATTCCATATTTTATTTCATACTGTGAATTTAAACTTAATAAATTGCTTTAATTGCTATCATCGAATTGTTTATTTTTTACTTGTAAGCCTTGAAAATTTTTATAAATTTTTCCTCTTTTTCTGTATTTCATCAAATGATTATAATATAAGAGTGTTTCAGAATAGCTTAGTCGGTAATGTAGATTGAAGAACTATTCAGCCAGCAATACCGTAAAAAAAAAAGTGATTTTTTCATAATTCAAAGTAGCAAAAAATGAATCATAGAATACAAATAGTTAGAACAAAAGGATAAAAAAAAAGTATTTTTGACAGAGATGGGTGACAAATAATGTCATCGTGAGAAACTGATCTATCGGTTGAAAACATCCCAGGTTCTCTCGCGTCGTTCTCTTCTCTACGATTACTACACACAGTCGTTGCTACTCAAGATTCCAGTTTTCTCCCCTCCCGACTATTTTTGTTTTTTTCATTTAAACCCCCTATTTGGCGTCTCGCTCCCGCCTAACCCTTCTCTACTCGACACGAAGTCTTCTTCTATCCCCGATACCACTCTCCTCTGCTCACCGAGACTAGTCTCTCCCACTCATTCGAACCTGTTCTATCCCCACTTTGTGAAATTTTGACCCTCCACCACCTAACATTTCTGACGCATGGTCATAGTAGGTGAGATGGCGTCTACGGGTTGAGAAACGAAAGGGGGTGTTTGTGCACGCGCTGCCATTGTTTGCCGCGTGTCGTTGGGTCTTCTCGGTCTTCACGAGATTCTTATGACGACAGAGGGAGTAAGAGAAATAAAAAAAAGAATTGAAAAAACTCCAAAAGAAAGAAAGAAAGACGCGACGACGAGATGGCGCGCGAGAGAGGGCAAATGTTGAAGCACACTAGTAGAGAGTGGGGGGAAGAGCAGAAGAAGAACAAATGCAGGAGAAGAGAAGCAGTTAAGCAAAAAGGGCATTGAAAAAAGATGAACGCATTCTTGTCTTTTTTTCTCATTGTAAAAAAAAATCATCTTCTCCACTTCACCTTTCGCGCACTACTTTTTTATTTTCATTATTTAAAAAATTAATCTTTTTAAAAATTTTCTTTTGCTCATTATTCAAATATTTTATATTCATAAATTGTAGCAACAAAAAATTACATCCTAGATAACGTTAAATTATAACAAAAGTACACAGAAATATTCAATACTGTACGTAGTTGACAATATTTTGTCATTTAGAACATTTCTTACAGATTTTCAGTACCTTCTCTATGGCGTTTTTTCCCCATTTAGAGATCTATTTTTTTGTAATTCTTTAACGTTGCTAATAAAATAAAAATGTCCAATGTTTCTTATTTTTGTCAAATAATTAAAAATCGAAAATGATGTTTCTTGATAAGAAATAGTGAAATATTCTCTTTAACTTGTGGATTGAATTTTTCTCTAACGCAGAATAAAGGAGAAAGAGAACGTGAGTGAGTGGGAGTGAAAGAGAAAGAAAACCCCTGACTCCTCATCCCTCTAAAGTTCTGCCGCCTACGCCGGGCAAACTCTCCCCCTTCTCATCCTATTTCCTCATCGTGGGCTTTTCACAGGACAATATTTTCACTTTGTGAGTCTAGGGTTGCCCATAGCAACTAGTTCGACCAACTACTGAAAATCTCCCTTGTCAATTGCAATGAAATTGTCCACTAGGGTCGGACTGCGTCGGTAAAAAAGAAAAAAGAAATGATGGAAGAGAGAACGTAGGAAAAAAAAAATAAAAGTAATATATATATATATATATATATATGTTTATAAGGGGAAATGAAAGAAAAAATGTCACCAACTGATGCAGGTGTAATAAAAAAATTTTAATTTTTCTCAAATTAATATTTTGAATACTATGATTTTTATAGATACACAATGAGTTATTTTGTACAGAACGGTACAGGAAAATCACATGTATAACCTTCAAAAAAATGAAACAAAATAAATTTCTGGTACTGTATGATTATGATTGACACATACAAATGCATTCAGATTTTGAACACAGTTATTGTTGATCAGCAAAAATACTGATAGAGAAAAGATGGAAAAATGATTAGGGAAGTTGTGGTTAAACAAGAAAATGAGTGAAAAATAATTTCATTATTCGCAAAAGATTTAAAAAGTAGATAAGTCATTTCTATTAAAAATTTTTTGTAATAAATTAATAAAGTCCTTAATTGGGAATTTAGCTTTCGAGGGCCATTTAACATTTAATGGCCGTTAGAAAATAGATGTTACCACCTAGCCAAGAACGTTATTCACTTGAATCGTTATTTACGTCGACAAGAACACTTGTATCTTGACAATCTATTTATTGTCACCACCACCATAGAAATAAAAAAGTATTTAATTCATGTGTTACTAAACTTTCCTTTGGTATTATTTCAAAATAACAGCATAAACAATTGCCATTTGTAATTTTAAGTAATTTTTCGTTTAATAAAAACTCAACGACTCCAGAACTCATCAACATTGTTATGACATTATAATGTGCAATTAAGGTCAAATGAAATAAACGAATTCATGTTGTACTTACTCTCTACACATCTTCATGAACTCAAATAAGAATTATATTCGGTTTTTGGAGTAAAAAATACCAAAATATCATTCTGGCGGGAAAAATGATTTTACCGACCGAGTCTTTTTTTCAAGTTAGAAATTGATTTTAGTAAATTGACCGCAAGATAAAAAGAAAAAAAAGAAAAAGATAAGAGATCAAGAGAGATTGACGAGAGTAATATGGGGTTCTTACGTCCCTCCGAAAGTGATGAAGGCGTTTACGCAAACGTCCGTATACGGTTTCCACAGGTGGTCGAATAGAGGAATGACCTCAATCTCTCACTCTCTCTTTCTCTCTCACTTTCTCCCTTTCAATAAAGTAGTAAAACACTCAAATTCTTGACCATTTGAATCACACTAAAACTGTAGGCTTTCATTCTTTTCGATGCCTCATTAATGAAACTATCCATTTCAATCCGTAACAACTTATTTCTATCTGAAACTATCTAAAGTTGTTGAAAAATTGATTATTAACAAAACTTGGTTGATATGAAAGTTTTAATTACAACGTCATCTTTTATTTTGTTTCAACGTAAAATGAATAAGAAGTCAATCAGTCAATAAAAAAAATGTATTCGAATAAAATACCATAGTGTTTAAATAATGGGGTAAGAAAGACAAAGTTAATAGCGATGTTCACTTGTTGCTTTACTCAACTAATTGTCGAGTAATTGGTCCCGGTATTACTCCTTTCATTCTATCCATAAAGCGTCTCTCTTTCTCTTCTTTACCCTAATGTTCTTCGTATACTCTGACTTGCTCACATCTTTTATACTCTTCAAGCAATATAAACTTTGTTTCATTGTCTTTGATAACGCTATGACCCTTGTCCTTTTTACGGTCTTATATAGTATATTAATGAGATTAATAAAACAACTATTATTTCCAAATAATTTCCTTCAGTTCTTACATTTTTTTGAAAAATAGCTCGAGAAAATACATATTTTACTGAAAGAAGAACTCAATGCAATGTATAAAAATATGTAACCTTGAACAGATAACAACGAAATCTCGTGTATCGGCGGTTACTATTTAGAGTCTGCAATAAATTATTATCTATAGAAGGTGTTAGCACCACCAAATGTATCAATAAAGAGGTAACCTTTGACGCGGTAAGAATATAAGAGAGGTGAAGAACAAATCCTAATAGTGAAAGGGAAGGAAAAAATGTTTAAAGGACGAGAGAAGATTATGAAGCAATGTAGGGAAAGGGAATAGGTTGTAAGATAAAAGAACTGAAAGGGGTTTAGGAAAGCTATAAATTACATCTTACCCTAATGTCGCTTACCACGAAGAAACGTGTGTGAAGGGTTGAAAAAGCGCAGGTGCACTAAAGTGTCGGTTCTTTAGACTTTTTTTCTGTATAGTTTTTATTAAAAGAGTCATATTTTTTCCTTTTGTTTTCATCCTCATTTCATCTTATATAATATTTAAACTAAAATTAGCCGAAATCTAATTAGTTTTCTGGCCACTTCATTAATAACTTCTTTCGTGTAGCGATAACTATGTGAAAGTTGATAATTCATTCAGCAATCATCATTTATGTAAAAATGTTTTATTTTTATAAATAAATGACTTACCCTTGATCCATTCTATCAACTGGTCCACTGGGACCCATCATCGGATGTCCAGGACCCATCGGACCGCCCATAGGATGACCGCCAGGTCCAAAGGGGCTTCCAGGCGGCATTCCATATTGAGGTCCAGGGAATTGACCAGGCGATGAAAAATGTGGATTACCTCCGGGTGGAACAAACGGTGGCCCGGAAGATCCAGGTCTACCAACAAACTGTGGTGGACCTGATGGTGATCCGAATGGACTTGGACCAGGTCCATTGTATGGTCCAGAGTTGTTTGGCGGTGGTGGAAATCCGCCTGGATTAGATGGTGGACCAGGTCCAGGTGTGGATGAACCACTTGGTGCTGGCGATGCAGTATACTGCGGTGTACCTGAACCAGGTGGTGGGCCTTGATATCCGGGTCCACTTGCTGGACTTCCAGCTCCACCAGGGAATGGACTTGGTCCTTGAAAACCACCTGAATTGGTCCCACCACCAGGTGTATTGTATCCTCCGGATCCAGGTCCACCACCAACTGAATTAGGAGTAAATGGCGACGCTTCTGACCCTGCTGGTGGGCCCTTCCACGACGCTGGTGTCCCTGGGTCCTCCAGCGTGGTCGTAGCTGCTAGTGGTGTATTCAAACGGCTACAGCCTAAAAAAAATACATTAATTCAATTGATTCCCACTCATGTTAAAAATGAATAATTTTTTTCAACGGTAATCAATGAAATAAAACTTATTTCTTACCATTATTCGTACCATTAGCCTTCATCCTAATAAATAAACATCAATCCATCATCTTCATAACATTTTGCACTCAATAAATCACAACTTTATTTATCACTAATACTAAATATTACACTTTTCTCGATAAAATTCACTAAAAAAACAAACAATAAACTCTTATAGTAGGTTATAGGCTATAGGAATTTCTAGTGATTTTGATACAAATTACAAATTAATTATATCATTATTGTGAGCCAAGAGAAATCGTTAAAAAATTATATCATTTGATTTTTTTTTCTAATAATTTAATATTTTTTGGATAATAATAATCGATTTTTCATAAATGACTAAATGAATAATAAAATTAATTATGAATCATTAATATAATCAAGTTTAATTATGAATAAAATATGAAATAGATGAAAGGAAAAGCATGTATATGATTAAGATAAAACAACTATGTGGTTTAGAAAAATAATATTAATTGTACGCGTCATTACAGGTTATGGTTACCGGCAAACTCTAACCTCCTTAATTGTAAGGAAAACAGAACGCGATACGCGAGTCTTTCAAAATTCACTAGAAATATCACTATTAAACCACTCAATAATAATTCTAATGAACCAGACTTGTTTTGGTACATAAAAATTATCAAAAAGTCACAGTAAATAGTATTAATTTATTACGATTTAATCTTACTCTGCGTATTAACAATTGTACCGGCGTCATTTTCACTTTTGTCAACACCACGTAATTACCGTCGAATACAATCAAATATCACTATATTCAACACTAAAATCACCATTTTCAGACAACTATCTTCAATAATTGGCTATTGATTATAAATATTATTTAATTTTATTCCAATATTATTTTTTATTTATCAAGCAATACTTGTATATTACTTCACAGAAGCCGTAGCAAACCTCCATCACACAAATACAAATGTCGGATATATACACTATGCAACGGAATCACCTATTATGTTCCCGTACCACTAATGAGTGCAAGTGAGACAATAAATACAATGAAATAAGATGGAAGACAGTGTAAACACTACGTGAGTCAAATAACAAACTGTACTTTTCTCAGGGACGTAATACCGAAAAAAAATTCCCGCTTATTTTCACCAGTGTTGCTATTTTTTATAACAATTTACAATTTATTTCTGTTGATAAGTTAGAAGTCAACTACTGCATATCAATAATTTATTTAAATCGACCCATAAACAATTAAATTTATTAATAAATTATTATTGATAAATTTTCATTTATTTCACAGTCACAAAAACATTCATCAATTTAAACTTCCCGCATTTTTTACACAAACGGAAGTTTAAGAATCACGTGGTTATTATCAATTGTGATGGTCCGTATACTTTAGAGTAATTGATAATTGATACTATTCCGAGATATTCTGATGAACATGTGATAATAAAATCATCAATTCGAAGGTTATTTGTATGTCTTTGACGGATTATTGATAAAATTAATAGTTATTTTCACACACACGTATTAGTTTATTCAAGATTCTCTAAAGGTTTAAAGGTGATGAAAAAATGACTGCAGCTGACAAACGCAACGCAAAACTAACACTACGGCACTGTCATTGGTTTGTTTTTTCGGTAAGAGGGTTTAGAAGAGGGGGTTGGTAAAGTAGTATCAGAGAAGATAAAAAAAAACGTTGCAGAAAGAGAAGGTGAAGTGAATGTTTAATGGGTATGACAGAAAGAGAGATTGAAAATGATGTTGGGTTTCCGAGTCGAATGGTGGCAGCAGTTTCGTATATGAACAGAAAAAATCTCATCTTTAGTTTCACTATTTCAAGTATTTTCAAACAATAATTACCTTCAATTAAATTAAATTATATATCATGTTTTTAATATGATTGCAATATTATTTGATGACGTATTACACGAAATGAAATAATTTATAAAAAGAACAATGAACAAAAAATGTCCCTCAGCATTATTTACTTGAAAAAATATGTGTAAAATTAATCATTGAAATGAATTTGAAAGAGTATGTGATAGAGTGAAAAGATAACCGGATTATTTAGACAACTCTATTGATTAATAAATTTATTTAAAAGGAAAATTTGGAAAGAATGATCCATGATTTGAATCACAAACATGTTACAATATTTCTTCAATTTCCAATAACTTGTAAAAATAAAAGTATCTTAAAGACAATGCCAATATAAGAATGATTTAATAGACTGCCATTATTTCGTTTTAAGAAATCAAGAAAGTTTTTTACTAATTTTAATAACATTGACTTACATTTAACTAGGAATTAATATTAAGTAACGATAAATAATTGTTAAACGTTAGCAAATATTTTACTCCATTTATTAATGACTACCAAAGTTAATGTGATCTAGAAAAATAACGGCAATTAAGATTTCTAATTGTGTCAATTGAATCTCTATAAAGACTTGCATTTATGAAATTCTTTGAATTTTCAAAAATAATAATGTTGTTTATTTACGAAACAGCCATTGTTGCAGTTTGAGCAGTAATGCCTCTTCCGGCGACATCATTAATCACAAAACACACTTGGCTATAGATTTGTGTTGTTTCTGTAGTTTTGACAATAAGTGAATCGAGAAATTCTCTGTACTTAGTTTTGTTCAGATTTCATTGAAAATCAAACAGAAAAAAGCTAAACATCAATTGATCTGATAAAGGATGTGTACTTTTTAATAACAAAGTATTCGTTTGATGTATATTGCAGCAAATGAAACATTATCAATCACTACAGATAAGGTATTGAAAATTTTTTTATGTTTTGGTATTTTTTTAAATATTTCATTATGTAAATGCATATTTTCTGTAGAACTATTGGTGTAATTTATAAAATGTTTATTATCATAAAAATATGGATGTATCTTGAAAAGTAATGGATGAAGGTTATAATGCAAATATACAAAGACAAAAAATATCTTTAAATGTCATTTTTTTATTTCATAATTTTAACTCGTTTTCTTTTTAAATATTTTCCGTTTGTTATTTTTATTAATTAAGTAAGTCATTTAATTTATTTTATTCGTTTATTCATAATCTTTTTTAAATCTTTAAAATGTTATCTATACATTCAATCACTGACTTGGACTTATTATCTATAGAATATACAAAAAGAGACAAAAAAAAGCAAACAAATTGAAAAAAATATTTTCACATTTATCTTAAAAAAAACAACCATTATAATTACTATAGTTTTTATTCAGTAGCAACTCATAATTATTATTTAGTTACTTTAATAACTAATTATTATCAACAATAAACTTAAAATCACACTTTTTTTTACCCTTGTTTGTATTTTAATTTATTTTAAGATTTTTTTCTTCTATTACATTATTAATCATTTACTCCTCTCAAACATTTACTCACTTTCATTTTCATTTATTTATCAATTAATTAATTAATTAATTAATTAATTAATTATTAATGAAAAAAGTAATATCCAGTCTTTGATTGCACCAAAACAAAAAAGAAAAAAATATTTAATAAAATTATTATTAACATCAAAAATATCCATTTTTATTCTTATAAAAAGTTTCTAATCAAAAATTTTTAATGTTAGAAGAAATAATAATTTTTTCTTGTTTACAAAAAATTATCTAAATTATTAAAATTTTTTTTTATTTAGTTGTTGGCAATGTAGATTGCATTAATTGTTCATCAATTAAAAAATTTTTATAATAATCAGTAAATTGTAGTATTGGTATAATTGGCATATGTTGTCGCGCTTGCATTGCCACTGAAGTTATAACAGAATTACTTCTTTGTGGTTGTAAATTATTTTGTTGTTGTTGTTGTTGTTGTTGTTGTTGTTGTTGTTGTTGTACTGATGTTGGAAATGGTCCATTATAAACAGCTGGATAATAAAGGGGATCCATTATTGGTGGGATAAATTTGTTATTACTTGGCGTCAATTGACCATTTGAATAAGGTACTACGTTACCAGCTGAACTACTGGCTCCAGCTGGTAACGCTGGAATAAAACCAGTTGGCAAATTAGGTACACTATGTCTTCTACTATCACTGTGTTGACGCGAAAATGGCATCTTTTGAGAATTATGTTGTTGATGAATAGAAGTTGGTGTTGGTTGTAATCGTCTTTCATCAATGAAATTTTTGAAATTTGCATCACCTTCACTTATTCTTCGTTGATGGTCACGAATCATTTCTGTTGGTTTTTTACGTTCACTTATATCACGTATTATTTGTGAATTAATTGTTTTTGGCGAGAAACAATTATTATTCAAATGATTTAAATTCGGTACATTGGGTATTACTGGATTTACTTTACGTGGTGAATATGGATTTATCGATTCCACCATTTTCGGATATTTTCCATTAGGTCGAAGCCTACTTTCAGGCCTTATTGGCTGACTAGAAGATCGGATTAATGGTTGTGCCGAATTTTTGGCTTTCGGTGATACTAGAGTTATCTCTAGATTATTTGATGCCATTGTTCGGCTATCTAACATTGGTGGATAATTAAATGAAGCATGATTAACAGATGGTCGATGATGATGATGATGATTATTTGATTCAGATGATGTTAGACTGTTGATATCGGGATTGGTGACATTTGGTCTTGGTACGACCGGAACTCGTACAATTTCGAGATTTGGTCGTAAAAATGGTCGTTCACCTTTTTCAATTTTTTGTGCTGTCAAGTCCAATATACCACCAGTATTTAATAAACAATTAGGTGTAGTTAGAATTTCTTTCGGATTGCCATATACTGTTTTTTCATTGTGTGAAAATATTGATCGTGATTGTGTTACTTTTGGTGGTAATGCCTGTGCATTTGGAAGCACAGGTGATACAAAAATTTTATCAGTCGACTGAGAATTCGGTGAATAAACTTGAAGAAGACTTGAATTACTATTATTACTACTATTATTAATATTATTATTGCAATTATTGTTGTTGTTGTTGTTGTTGTTGTTGTTGTTGTTGTTGTTGTTGTTGTTGTTGTTGTTGTTGTTGTTGTTGTTGTTGTTGTTGTTATTGTTACTGTTACTATCGTTATTATTATTACTATTAATTGGCTGTAAATTAACTGATAAATTACTCGACTTAATGGACTTTAATTCTCTGACTTCATTTGGTGAAGGAAGCATATGACTAATGTCCGGTGTGACCGTAACTGATATTAATTTCGGTTGATTGAGCATGTTCTCGTCATTTTTAGAGTTACAAGATGGTACTGACGACTGTATTACACTCTGATGTGTATCTAAATCAATGGCTGTAACTTCTAAACCACCTTCCCTCAATATCTCCAATTTTCGTTTCTTAAAACTTGGTATAACAAGTTTATCTCTGACACCATCTGGTTCAAGTTCAAGATCAATAACTTCTGGTGTTGCAGAACGATTTTGAGTCTTATCAAAAATCGGAATGTTTTCTTTACCTTGGGCTGTAATTAATGGCTTTTCACTTTTAATTTCAGTTTTAAAATCTTTTTCAGGTGGTGGTGTTACTGTTGTTAAAGTTAAACTGATAGGTGGAGTGGTTGATTGTGTCATCAATGGGCTATTTATTTGTCGATCTAGACCATTTGAAGGTTGCCCACCAGTGGGTGTAGTTGATGGTGTGCTTCCAGGTGTTGATAATGTAGTACTAGAATTACCAGTCGATAACGGTGGACTTGGTGGTTCATTATTGGAATTGGGTATAGTTGTTGTGGCAATTATTGTATTTAATGACTTTAATCGTTCTGGTTTGACTCGAACACTTCGTAATGATGATATTTTACCTTCAGTCTTTGGTTTCTCCATTTTCGGTAGTGTGGATATCGATAAGGATATTTTGGAAATGTCAGTGATAGATGTGATAGTGGTACTGCTGGTAAGATTTGTTGTTTCACCGTTCATTGGCAGTTGAGGGGGTGTTCGTGATCGTTTCTCCAATTTCATCCCAGGTATTTCCGATATCTCTGAAACTGTTATGTCTGAAATAGACTTACTTCGTCGACTAACAGGTCGTACTTTAGTCTCTTCACCTTTCTGATGACGTTCATAAGGCAAAAGTAACCTATGAATAATGAAAAAAATTATTTTATATAATGTTTCAAATAAATAATAAAAAAAAAAAATATACCTCTCATAATGCCTTCGCGTTATTGTTGCGGCACTAGTCGATCCAGTATTACCACCGATTTCGTCATAAATGGATTTCCACAGACGACTTCCAGTTACCAAATCATAGCCGCCAAGTTTTTGAACTTTTTGATAAAATAAATACAAGTCAACTGCAAAATTGAGACAGTATTTTCTTAATTTA